TCAAGGTATTAATTTTTTTGCACTTTCAAGTATGGTGGAGAAAGATCAGTATAAATTGAAAAGCCCTGAAGACACTGGTCCCATCGCTGGAGAGACCCTGGGCTGTAACTGCGCAAGGGAACAAGACTCCGCACACACACACTGCTCTCCTGGCTAAACTGAGCAGAATAAGAAAATCAAAGAGAATTCTATTAACCTAAGAATCTGGGGCTTTGAATTACTCCTAAGAGTAAAGAGATTCAGTTTTCTGGCTTTTTTCTTTCACTTTTATTTTTCTCCCAAAGACCTTTAAAATGAGATAGGAGACTATTTTTAAATTTTGGACAGCTTTAAATTTCTCATCCTGGCAAGTATGTTTAGATTATCTTTATATTACTGTATTTAATCACACTGCAGTTTGTGACTTCGTATGTTGGACAACATAACTGAGCAAAATCTGAGAGTGGGAAATAGAACAGGAAAGCAAATTTTGAGCTTTAGTTACAAAATCTCCTTAGAGTCAGTTTAATGAATGTAATATTATTAGTTCTTTCCAAGCTTTCTGGGATCAAAGTCTAAATTGCCCACTATGATTCCAGAAGGATCCACAAAGGAGTAGACTTTGTTATTTGGAAGAATGGCTTCATGAAGGTGGGAAAAGACTGCCTCACAGGCAGCCGCCCACCTCCTCCAAGGAGCCTGGCCACACCCCCGCCTGACCACAGCTGCACGGATAAGGCCAATCCCCACTCCTCCTGTCCCGCTCGGGAGGGATTTCAGCAACACCACCTCTGCTGGCCTCAGCCCTACCTCTCCATGTCATTTTGCTGATAGGGTAGGGATGAGTTAGCAAGTTGGGAAGAAGGAACTGAGTATGTTCAGCTTAGCACTTGCCTCTCTTCTCTTAGGAAGTGTCTGCCCTCTGTCACAGGATAGGCGCTTGTGCCACAGGTGAGGACTGAGTTTGTCCAGCTCTGCTTGGGACTGGGGTTGGATGGAGGGGCAGAATTTGGCTATGAGACATATTTTTAACAAGGTCTCTTAGCCACAGAGCCAGAGATACATTCCCTAACCAGTTTTATAAGAACAAAGGTGCTATTTTAAACTAAAATAAAAACTGATTGATGCAACGGAAGGATGAATGCATATAACACCTATCCACATGACACTAAGTCAAGGACCCGCAGAAAGTCCCCTAGACGTCATCCTCAAGTAAATCAACTTTTCTAAGTCTTTTCCTCTTAAACTCCCACATGGCTAATCCTTTAATCCCAGCAACTCTAATCCTTAATGCTCATTAATTTCCCATCGGTGGCTCCTAACAGCTAAGCCTTAAATTTCCATGCCCACCAAGTAGTTAAATTATCTCAATAAACAGTAATTAGGTGATTAGGAGGCTCTTTTTAGCAAAGCTTGTTGTGAGCTTCTCTGAAGGCAGAACAGGTCTCTGGTGGATAAAGAAGTTGGCACAATTGGAAGAGTGCCACCAACCACTCCTCTGTTGTCTCATTTAATCCTAACAGCAATCCACTGCAGAGGGGAGGAAATTAAGCAACTTGCTGAAGTATGCCTATGCAGTGAGTAGCACAGTCAGCATCTGAACCCTGATGCCTCCTCATGCCACGCACAGTCCACTACCTACAAAGCTCACATTCATAAATTCACATACTATCAGGATTGGAAGAACCCTTGCAAGTCACTCACTCCAGCCTCCTCTATTGCCGATGTCCTTCCAGGTATGAGTTTCCCACCTCAGTGATGGGGACTTCCTAAGGCAGCCCCTTCTACTGTAGGGCAGCCCGATTGCTTTGCAAACTCCTTTTTACATGGAATGTCCTGTAGATTTGCTTCACTGGCCCAAGGTCCTTCTTCCCTTCGGGGGCCCAAGGCACAGAGCTTTGGAGGTGGCAGAGTGTGCATCCTTGGATTAAACATCCCTGCTCTTTCAACTCTTACCCTCAAAACTTAATCTTCAGCCTTTCCCCATCCTCCTAGGAACCTCCTCTGAGCACAATCATTGCAGTGACACATCTGGGGTCTGGAGCTGAGCGTAACATTGCAGGATGGAGCAGACCAGCGCAAAGTTGTGATAGATGATCACTGCCCTTGACGTAAGCACCATTCCACCATGAACTGTGGATCCATGGTGGAGGTAGGGGGCGGAAAGAGCACTGTTCCTCTGCTCAAGAGCCTACATGGCTCCCTAGTGCATAAAAAGGCATTTCCCAAATTGCGGTTCCTGAAACACCAGCTTCCCTGAATAAGTGAATGGGTACTTTAAGGATAAAAAAGATCTGTGACTGTGTAAGTTTGGAATACACTTAATATTCTTTCATTAATAAATCTTTACTGAATGGTTATTGTATGCCACGTACTGTTCTAGTCACTAGATATATGTCCATAAACAAGACAACCCCAAATTCTTGTCTGTGGAAACTACAGGTCAGACAAGAAATGCTATAAATGTGTGAGGACATTTTAGAAGACTCGCAATGCAGAACAGCACGTCATTAGAGAAATGCTGATGCAAAGAATTAAGCTTAAGTTCGTTTATATCAAGATATCTCAAATACAGAATCCTGGTATAATTGCTAACATCCTAGAAAGCAGTATTTGAGTCACCTGTTTTGGAAATAACATGCTCACAACACTGAACACGGACTACTGTCCTTTAGCTAGTATATCTCCTTATGTTACCACTGTCCTGTGTGGAAACTTTCTAATGTAAAAAAGCTTAAAATACCATATGATATCACTCATATGTGGAATCTTAAAAAAAAGGACACAAATGAACTTATTTAAAAAACAGAGGCAGACTCACAGACACCGAAAACAAACTTATGGTTACCGGGTGGGGGGGGGAGGAGGTGGGGAGGGATAAATCGGGAGTTCAGGATTTGCAGATACTACCTACTGTATATGAACTAGATAAACAACAAGGTCTTCCTGTATAGCACAGGGAACTATAGTAAATACCCTGTAATGACCTATAATGAAAAAGAATATGAAGAGGAACATATATATCTGAATCACTATGCTGTACACCACAACATGGTAAATTGACTATACTTCAATAAAAAATAAAGAATTAAAAAATTAAAAGGCTTAGAGATCAGCCAAGAAATATCAGCACAGCAAGCTCAGCCCGTAGGAGGACTTAGAGGACACCATAGGGCATGTGGGCGGGAAGAGGGGTTGTCAGGGAGCTAACAGAGGAGTGGAGGACAGACACTGCCTCCCCAGCCAGGGGAGGGGGGCCAATGGGAGCTCAGGTCTAAGAAAGGAGCAGCTGATCCAGCAGCTCCCAGGTTCAGCATCAACGATGCAGGTGGGCAGACCCGGGGGGTGGAACAGGGTTTAGCCAGGAAAGTAGAAGTACCAGATCAGGAATTCCACCCTGAACAAGATCAGGACAAGGAAAAACAGAACGGGCCCAGTGCCCTGGGAAGTCAGATACACAGCCCACAAAGCCCAAGTAGGTTCCTGACAGTCCAAAGAGTTTTCCCAGGATTCTGTGACCTAGAGCATCAAAAAGACACCCTACCCTGTGACCCCAGTAGAGAGAGCCAAGGACTACTTCCAGATCCAGCTGGCTTCTGTTTACAACCCAACAGAACGCTTCCATTTCAGCCCACTAAATGAATCTGGGACTGCTAGGCAAGAGGGCACAAAAATGGCATAAGAAGCATCAGCGGGCACCTGTGCTCCTGCTCAGAAAATCCTCCAGGCTCCCCTCCTCCCCGCCACTAACTTCTATACCCTCTCTCATCACTCCTTTGGTTTCTTCACCCATTTCAGCCCCATGTTCCACTGGGTCCCCCTGGGACTTGGTGGTTCAGTTTGGGACACTGGTCCCAGCTTGAACCACTACCTGCCACTACATGTGACCGTCAGCATTTGCTCATCAGTTTTAAGTGCCAGCCCCAGCACCCCAGCCCTGGCCCGTCCTTCCCATTGTCCCAGACTCTCGAGGCAGGGAGAGTGGACTTCACAGACCCTTCTGGGTTGGGAGGGTGAGGCTGCGTGGGGCCAGCTGCACTGACTGGCAGGCAAACTGGCTCAGAAAGGTCCGTGCAATGTACAGAATGAGCCAGACACACAAGGAAAGAGAACGGAGAAGTCTGGGCTAGGTAGAAAGGCCGAGTTTGGAGAGAAGCCGATATGGGGAGGGATTTGTTATTTGTGGAAAGCTTCTCTTCGGCGGTGGGAAAAGAATGGCAAATATGTGACAGTATTTCTGTGACTATAAATAACATGTAAATACCTTTCATAATGAAAACCGTATGGAATCAGCTTTTCTGGGAGGCTTTGAAAATAGGAAAAGGCAAGAGGAGAGGGAAATAACATGTATTTATTTAACCCACACTCTGTGCTAAGCACTTTTCATATGTTGTTTGCTTAGTCCTCTCCCTTTTCTTCCGGGGAAGGTTTTCACCTTACAGATGAGGAGAAATGGGGCCACAAGGTCAGGGAACTTGACCAAGGTCCCAGGATGAACCATAATTTGAAAGTAGGTCTGTCAGGCTCCGAAGACCTCACTCTTTCTGGAATCATGCACCAGCCTGTCTAGAGGCACGGGCTAGACTAGGTGACCTTTCTAGATTCTTCTCTATTGTCAAGAGTTCCAGAATTGACTTGCTCCATGTAGGTACCTCAAGTCCTTCAGGACAAAAAGGACCCATTGTGTGCACTGTGAACAATAACTCAACAGAGAAGATTTAAGGTGGTGGGAGCAATACTGAAAGGGCAATTGGGAGACACCGGGCTCTGCCACTGCCCTGCTGTGTGCCCTTTGGTCAGTCTCTGCCCTCTCTGAGCTCTAGTTTTCATATCTGGAAAATGCACAATTGGGGCTAGATGCTCTCAGGAAGCCTCCGCTTAGCTCTGATAGTCCTGACTCTCAGGTGCTGGAGTTCACTTTGGTGATCCAAGGATGATGTCCCCCAAGAAAGGCCACTCCAGAGCTTCCCCCAGCCTGGCCCTGCCCCTCTGCCCACCTCCCCAGCTCAGCCTGCACTGACCTGCACCTCCCGGGTCAGGGCCAGCTCCAGCAGCTGGCCGAAGTGCTGGCCCAGCGTGCTCAGGGTCTCGCTCACACAGGCCTTCATCGACTTCAGGACGTGCTCGTTCTCAACCTGGAGGCACCTGGGGAAAGAAACCGCAGGGTGGGCCCCCGGAAGGGCCAGGCAGTCAGCCCAGAGCCATTTCAGGGGCCAGATATGGGCCTGCTGCAGGCCTGGTGGTGGTGCAAGTGGCCTGGGAAGAAGACATCAGCTCCCGGGAAGTCAGAGATGGAATATTCCAAGGCTGGCTCGTCCCCCAGCCTCCTAGAGAAGTGCGGGCCTGACATGGCAGCCAACAGTCCACAGCACCAGAAAGGCCATCACAAAGTAGCCAAATCCATCCCTCTGGGCTTCTCGCCGGGAGAATCTACCATCGTCACAGCCAGGGTCTAGGGATGGGTGATGGGGGCTGCAGAGGGGCTGCTGGTGTGTCAGGTACGCTGTGCTCACTGTGAAGGTGGACAGACAGCAGTGCCTCTGAGCCTTTCAGAAACGGCCACCTGCAGCGTGCAGACAAGAGGCTTGAGGGTTTTCTCCCTACACACAAAGAACGAGGGCTCAGGGTCCAGTCGATCCCTGTGGCTTGAGAATGTTCCATACTGGAAAGCCAAAGATCTCATGTGAGACCTCGGGAATACCAAGTTCCAGATTTTCTTCCCAGAGCCTGGGGGCTGGAAAGGGTGATGGAGAGTGTGAGCACACACCCGGGTGTGTGTACGTGTCTGAGTGTAGACCTATGTGTGTCTATGTGTGTGAGATACGGACAGGAGGGTGCGAGGGTATTTCTGTGACTGCACAGGTGTGTGTTTATGTATCTGTCTATGGGCATGTGTGTGTCTGTGAAATCCTTGTCACAGTGTCTGTGAGTAGAAGGGTGGCTGTCTGCTTTTACCTTGCCTTGACTTTGGGAACTGGGGGCTTCTCAAAGCTGTGGGAAACCTTTCCTTGTTACCAGCCCTTAAGAATCCTCTTTATTCCTATGCTGGGGCCACTCCTCTGCCTTTTACATTCTCCCAGGCCTGAAAATGGAGGAGAAAATCCCAAGGGAGTCTTTTAAGGCTGCTGATAAAAGTTAGCAAAAGGAAACTCCCAGACCACCACCAGGCCTGCCCGCTCACACTGTCACCAAGGGAGTAGACACCAGCCCCTTCCCCTGCCTGAGCTGGCAGACGCTGTCCAGAGGCACCCAGAAGCCAGATTTACCTCTCCGTGACCGCTGACAGCTCTGAGCACTTCTCCATCAGCAGCTTCTCAATCTGCAGAAAAATAGATCAATTTTATTCAATTTAATAAGCATTGGTCGAGGACCAACTGCTGCGCCAGGCCCTCTGGGGCGTACAGATGAAGAATCAAATCATCCAATTTGGAAAACAGGCATATAGTTTGGAAACTGTAACACAGTTTGGTGGATGTGGCAAAAGAGATCACCGTCAGCTGCTTTGGGAGCTCAAAAAAAAAAAACTGAACAGTTAGTTATGCTGGGGGATCTGGAAAGCTTCAGAGAGGAAGGGGCATTTGAGCTGGGTTTCAAAGAATGAATAGAAGTTTACTGGGTGTGAAGTAGAACAAGGAGAAGGGTAAAGCACTAAGGTGCAAAAATGATGCCAGAGGAAAGAGGAACAATGACAAAGGGGATTTTTCAATGGTTCACTTTGGACTTGGAGAAGATTCAAAATCATGGGCTTTGGATTCACAGAACCTTAGGTTGAATCCCGCTGATACCACTAACTGTATAACTGTGGGCAAGTTACTTAGGCTCTCTGAGTTTCTGTTTCTTCATTTGAAGTGAGGACAATACTATTAACTAACATTTTTAATCAACTTAATCAACTGTTTTTAATGTTTTATATGTAATGACTCACTTAGTCCTCACAACAGATCTATGAAATAAACACTGTTATTATACTCATTAGGATGATGGGATTGGGGCACGGAGAAGTTAAGTAATTTGCCAAAGTGATACAGCAGACAGAGCTGACATATGACCCCAGGCAGTTTGGCATTAAAGTGGGTGCCTTTAACCATTGCCCGGTGTCTTTAGGTGGTTATGATGGCCTCACAGGTCGTGCAGGTTAAATGAGATACGTGTAAAAACATTTCCCAGCACAGAGCAGCTACTCAGTAACGGCCCTTACTGTCCTCCCTGCTTTACTGGAAGGGGAGGGAAGTCCCTGGGGCAGGAAGAGTCCAGACTCCGCGCGATTCAGACCCACTCTTCCAAAAGGCAACCCCATTCCGAGTGCCCACCCATGCCCATGCTAGGCAACTGACCTGGCCCATCTCCTGCGAGGAGCTCCTGCTGACCGCGCTGTACTCACTGACCATGGAGCGGGCGTGGCAGGTCAGGCGCACGCTCATGCTGTGGACGCGCGCCCAGCGGTCCTGGGCCAGCTTCTGCCCAATCCTGCGCAGCTCGGTGCTGATGACCCAGCCCCGCTTGAGCAGCAGCTGCAGGGGGTCTCCGGGGCCAGGGCCGCCTGCCAGGATAAGGTCGCCCTGTGCATCCTCCTCCAGGCTAATGGGCTTGGCCTGCAGGACACACATGCACTCACACTCCGTCATGAGCTTCAGGTCCTCCATCCAGCGCTGGACTGAGTCCACCTGCATCAGGTGCAGCCTGCAGCCAGAGAACAGCACCAGGAAGGCTATTCACACTCCACAGTCTCCAAGGGTTTCAGTTCCAACCCACCTGTTTATGAAACACCTACTGTACGCTCATCACTGTTTCTTGCATTCACTCACCTTAATCCTCTTCTCATTATGTCCATCTTACAGATAATAAGATGTTTTGAAGGCAAACGACTAGACAAATTAGGCAATGAAGTATGACAGAGTAGCAGATAATCTTTACAATAAGAGGAGAATAGAAATAGCCTAAACATCAAATATTAGTTATGTCAAGTGAACTATGGTACAGCTACTGATTATATAATACACACTTTTTAAAATAATGCTTTCCAAAACTTTATAGCAAAGAAAAATGTGTACACTAATAAAGTAAACACATAGTATGCAAAGCAGTATGCAAAAATGTAAACACAATTATTATAACTGTATTAAAAAGCTGTATCTACAAAAATATTTAAAAGAAACATTAAAATGCTAGCGGTTCTTTATGAGTGGTGAAACTAAAAAAATCTTTCATCTTTTTTCAACTTTTCTCTAATCCCCAAATTTTCTATCATAAGTGTGTAGATTACTTTCGTAATGGAACAAAATTAACTCTGTTTAGTACAACAGCATGAGAATATAGATTAGGTCCTAAGGTCTTTATCAAATAAAATTCACTCTAAAATTCACTTAGTCAAATAAAATTTGGTAATATCAGATCATTACTGAAGCTTTGAACACTGGTGAATGAATTATATTTAATATCATATAAGTGCCAGACTCTGTGGGAAGAGTGGACATAAACATGCCAAGCCTCCCCACTTGTGGCACTTTTGATGCCTACAGAATCAAGACACAGTAATGAGAAATTCAAAAACAATAGATTTCAACCTCATTTGAAGGTTATGAAAGAAGACACACACTGTTAATCTTCAAGGCTGGACTCAAGTCCCTTTGCTTTTGCAACAGTCTTCCAACTAGTCTTTCTGTCGCTAATCGTACCTGCCTCCAGCCATTCACCAACTGCCACTAGTTAGTCACTCATTCTATGAATAAGTAGTTGGTGCCTACAACGTGCCAAGTACTGTTCTAAGCCCTGAGCTGTAACAGTAAACCATAGATAAAAATCCTTTTCCTTGCAAAGGTTACATTCAAGTGAGAGGACAAAGTAATTTCCAAAATAAATAAGCAATGCCTATAATAAGCAATACGTTGGAGGTGGTAAGTGCTGTGAAGGAAAAGAGAACAGGAATGAATAGAGAGTGAGGGGTGGGAGGGAGTAGGCATAGCAATGGAAAATAGGTGAATCAGGGAAGGCTTGCTGAGAAAGGGACATTTAAGCCAAGATTTGAAGGACACAAGGGAGCGAGTCATGTGGGTATCTGACGACCAACTGTTTCAGGGAGAGAGAACAGCAAGTGCAAAGGTCCTGGGGCACATGTGTCCTTGAGATGTGTGAGAAATAACAAGAAGGCTAGAGTTAACCTGGCCGAGGGAGAGAGAGAGAGAGAGAGTGAGAGAGAGAGAGAGAGAGAGAGTAGGAGGAAGTAGGAAGGTAAGGAGACGAGGTGGGAGGGGTAGGGGGTAGGGAGGAGTTCGTTTAGAGTCGTAGTAGTGGTAGGGAACGAAAAGGAAGGAACGGTA